TCCACCACTGCCATCTTCCACATGATACCACAGCCTTGATCAGCTCCTTGCATCTCCCTCGATCTGACTTGTGCTTCTCCATGAAGATGGTCATCCTGTAGAAGGATGAACCTCTCATTTCTTCACACCATCGAGCACAATATTCCGCACAAATGGAAGAGCTTCGACTCTTCCAAATTCTACATGTACATTATTTTTCCAGAAGTTAAAAGAAAAAAAATCATATATCAGCATAAATCACAAGTAATTGTCTCCATGACCCAAAAAGGAGTACTAGGTCACACACCTAATTACCTGTAAGGTGGTTTATAAATGTGCATATTTTTAGATGCCATATCATTCATCCAAGTCATTTATGGCATGTTTGATCTATTAAATTATGGAAGTTATTAAGGAAGAAAAAAGAAGTTAAAATCTTCTCATTTATCTAGTTTTGTGATTCCACTAATGCGTACTGAACATAGTTTTAATAGAATTGAGAGTTACATCGTTGAATTCTGATTAATAGTTAATCAAAGCCTGTTTCTTTCCCATTTTTATATTAAAGAATGCATTTTGAAATAGTAGATTGATAGAGAATGCGTGGTTAAAAAATAAGGAAAAATTTTAAATTTACGTGTAATATTATTTTATTGAAGGATACATGGTTGAAAAGAAAATAAAGAAAAATGTATTTTAAGAAAAATGGATATCAAACAAATATCAATCAAATATTATTCGACGAAAACTAGAAAAACAGTGGAAAAATAACACTAGTTCTAATATTTAAATTTAGTTGAATTTCACTATGTCCCCCTCCTCGGGATGTTATGACTTGGCAGGTACCCAAGTTAATCTTTTATAATAAATAGTTCAAGAAAAGTTTCGTCTCTGTTTTTGTGATGTTTCGTCAAAATAAAATCCCGTAATAATTAAGTTACATGGAGGGAAGTTCCTTGCTCTCTGTAGCCTTTTGAATTGGATGTATGAATTTCCAGTGGCAGGGACTTTGAAATCTGAACCAAGCCTTAAATTGTCTTGTCTTTCGCTTTACAAAGCATTCTATCTAAGGTCTTAGAATGAAAAATATTTAGCCCCCGTTTGACAACCGTTATTTCAAAAATCTTTTTTCTATATAATCATTTTTAACTATATATTCGCATAACAAAATATTCTAACGTAAATACAAAATTTTTCTCTACTTTTTAACTACACATTCTCCAAAAAATCAATATTCAAAACTCTATTTTACACAAATATTGGTTGTCAAATAAGGGCTTATTTTCCCCATTTCCTGAATTGACTGCTAAACTAAGGCCCTGTCTGATCTACACTCTTCTTAAAATTCATTCTTTCAAAACTTATTTTCAACCACACATTTTTCAATCAAATAATATTACACACAAATTCAAAAAAAATTCTTATTTTTTAACCACATATTTTCCATCACATCACATCCTAAAATACATTCTTCTCTAAAAAAATGTGCATCAAACACCCCTAATATTGCAATACCTCAGACATTATAACCCATGGTATAGCTCCAAGTCCTATGGAGAAACCAATCACCAACACCTGGCAAAAGATGAATCATAAAGTGAGAAATATGTCACCATGGCTGGGTTCATGTAAGGATCCTAAGCAAGTCATACCGCAAGCCCAACGAGTGACAATATTCCCAAGGCAATACGAGTATGTTCTGCTAAAATATCTTGCTTTCAGCAAGTCATGTAGTATTAAATTAAACCTTGAAAAAGCCAAAAGACATTACACTGTGTTTAGTCAAATTATGTTTTAGAAAGTAAAAGAAAACAAACTTATGTAAACAAGAAAAAACACAAATATAATGAAAAGTAGAGAGATCTCTAACTCATTACTGACCCCCAAATAGAATACAATTGCAACAAGGAGGCTACTAGCACTCATTAGAGATGAGGATACCTACAGGAAGAGATAAAATCTATATTCAATTATTAAGATCAAACAATAATATAAACCCGAAGTTAAAAAGGATAGTCGAGACGCACTATATGAAGAACCCTGCGGCCCATTCTGTCTACTAAAGTTGTTGTAATCCCAGTGACAATAACCTTATCAACGACAAGATTCTTTCACTAGCCAGATTTGGTTTGGAAATAACTGAATGCAATAGCATATGTGAAGGTCAATGCTTACCTGAATAGCCCCAAGACCAAATGTTGCAGCTTTACTAGATGTAATCCCTGTTTAATTTGATAACAAATTTATCAATTTAACTTTTATAATAGCTATAATGTAAGAAATTGAAAGAGAAAGAGGAGGAACAAAAACTGATTCATTAAGCATACACACGGCACCAACCAATTAAGGTTGAACAAGATACAAAATATAATATTTAATACACTTTCTATCAACTATTACCACTACACAATTGAACTACTACATCAGCTTTTCAAAGGACAGAATAGCCTGTCATTTTCAGCAATGTTGAAGCAGGAAGGCTGTAAGAAATTGAAAGACAAAGAGAAGGAACAAAAACTGATTAATTAAGCATACAAACGGCACCAACCACTTAAGGTTGAACAAGATGCAAAATATAATATTTAATACACTTTGGATCAACTATTACCACTACACAATTGAACTACTACATCAGCTTTTCAAAGGACAGAATAGCCTGTCATATGGTTCGTTATCCCGAACTCTTGTAGATTGCTATTTGCATACCATCTGTGCTAGGATGAAGAGATGGATAAATTAATGTGTAATTTAATGACTAGAAAAATTGATTGAATATATATGATCCTTTTTATATAACCTACCCTTGAAGTTCATTCCATTCAGTTTCATGTTGTGCCTGGCATATATTGTAATCTAATTTGGCAAGATTAAGATACACATTGTTACTGATATCTGGCATCCTGAAAAAGAAATAAAAATATTGTTACTAATTAATTAATAAAATATTTATTTTTCCTTCACAAATAATATTTTAAGTGATACAATTAAGGAATAAGCCATTTTGCCACATGTTTTTGCCCACCTACTTCATAGAGGCGGCGGCATCAACAGTTGATTGATGGAAAAGCTGACTATTACTCTATCAAAGAAGATGGCAAAAAATTCTGGCAATGTAGTATGATTCTACAATTACTTAGTTTGGAGAACATGGTGAGTACTGAGAAACAAGTACCTGTACAAAGTCTTTCCTATCCATACATCAGTTTCACTACCATATTGCTCAATGTAGAACCTAGCCTCAATCCGAGGTAGATCAGCATACCATGGCAATTCCAGCCCTGTTCTTATCTGTAATATACACATGCCTTTTCTGAGTAAGGATAAAAGTTATTCAAGAGAAATTAACAGAAAAAGTGACTGATAAGTGCATTCACAAACGACACTAGTTGTTCACGATGAATTTAAAAAGTGATTAATTTTCTGTAAGGATGTATATAGATGGAAATTTGGTTACTGATCTGAAAGTCCCTTAGATATTATCCATTTATCTAGAAGTTTATTAGATTTTAGCTTCCCTTGTAAAAAAGAGTAAGAGAATTCCTTGGCTTGTTCAAGAATATTTTCTCCTTGAAATTGAACTTGCGAAGCTCTATAAAGATTGTATATTGGAGTTGCAGACTCAATAATTTGACCAGCGTAGCAAGAAAATTTGTTGTCGATCTTGAAGTGTTCGAACACATCTGTAAAGACACTCTATTAATAAATGACACCAACGAAATTATAACGGATACGGTAGGGGTGGAGAAGCTAACCCTACCGGGGTTAACGCTAAATCCATGAAGTCTTAGAAGTCTGAAAGCCATGGATGTGTCATCAATATCACAAAATCTTAAATATCTTGCACTGAAAATTCCATCGTCAGTCCAAAATCAGTAAGAGCAAATTCCATAATCAGTTGCAATTAGAGGATGCTATGATATGTTACCAATTTAAATAGTGTTGTTTCTTTAATTTTTTTGGTTACCTGTAGACATAATTTAAAAAGTCATTAATTTGTGACTCGAAAAAGCGGGAAATTCCCAAGCGTTGTAGTCGATCAATGGCCCAAAGTCGAGCGAATAAATCAGCTGGATATGAATGTGGTGCTAATAATAATAATAATAATAATAATAATAATAAAATTACAAATAAAATTTTTCGCAAGCATTAAGATAAAAATCCGAATTTTCTTATTGAAAGAATTGTTTTTCAGTTACATCGCTAGTTATTAAATGTCAAACACGGGGAAATTAAATACGGTTACTCTGAATTCATGCAGGTAAAAATTGAATTTTACCTCCTCCATTAAACTTGTGTACAATATCATCCAAATATCTGAAACAATTGTCTTCTTTAGTCTCCATTAGTGCGAAGGCTGTAGAGGATGGAGAAGTTAAAAATGAACCCAGTGGAGTTTGCAGCTTCAAAAGTTTTTTCCAGTCCAAATCTTGGAATCCTTCCAAGCTAAAAAGTAGAGATGTTGGTAATTTGTGCATGAGGTCTTTAGGTATCCTGTCGAATATAAAATATTTTTATTCTTCCAATCATATTTGAGAAAAAGAACAATAAATGAGATGTTTTTATCTATCTTTTATTTCGCTCAGTATTCTTCACTCAATGGTATAGCAGCTTAAGATATTACCTTTTCATTTTCTGATCTCTTGAAGAATAAATCTCTTCTGGACTGGAGAATCATAAGGAATGCCATCAATGCCTAAGTTTGTGGCTCTTTGAAGAAGGGAAGGAAACACAATTTCAAATCCACAAGGCATGTTCTCTTCCTCCGCATTTTGAAGCTTGTGTATGTTTTCTTCGATAAACATGATTCCTGTCATAAATGAGCACAACTAGTAAAAGATCATAATGGGTGCAAACATTACGTGCATGTTTGGTATACAGTACTCAACAAAACTCAACAGAATATTCAACAGTATTTGAACTTTTATTGGTTTAGAATTATTTGTTTTAAGTCCTTGATTGGTACCTTTGTCAATCTTTCGGGCATGAACGTTCCATGGTCTCAATGCTACTACATATGCTAGCGTATTGAGTAGCCGATCATATGCTAAGAAAAAATGTTCATCGCCCCATGAGCCATCAGAGAGTTGATTGTTGGCAATCCATTCAACACTTGATGGAAATTGGGGAAGATCAAGTCCATCGAGGTTTTTAACAAGTGCAATCCATGCTGTGTCATAAGGAGAAATACTTGTTCGTCCTTCTCCCAATGTATCCAATTTCTCTCGTATGTAAGCTATGTAGCCCTTTATTGTCATAGAACCATGTCATTACATAAATAAGTAGAATTCTATATTTAGATTTTAGCTAGAACGGACAGATCTTCTTCTCTTTAAGAGTACATTGACACATTTTGTCTTAAAAGTCGAGGTGTTGGAAATTGGCTCTATCAAAACAGCCTTTAGAGTGAATGCCAAAATCATTTCAGTAACAGGATTGGCTTCCATTGATCAAGGATGACGGTGGAAATAGCCAAAGGGTTTATAGATGCCCTCACCTCTAATGAATATGGAGAGGCTATAGATTGTGACAAAGCTTCTGAGTTTACAGTTACTCAGGATAAAATGAATTGGATATTGGTTTCAACAAAAGGTTATTTAATGTTAGTGGGTGTACAAAATCAAAGAAGGTATTAGCTACAAAAAGATAGGTAACTTGAACGAGGCAACGTGGTTAATGGATCATGTAGATAATTATGTTGCTTCTTTTAGTGATTGTAAACTAGAACGGATCCTAGATTCGGATGCTCGTTTTATAACATTTAGTAAGGAATGGTTCACTTGTTATAAGGACATCATGACGAGGCAGGTTGTTTTGAGTAACAGTATCTCGTCTAACATTCTTTGAACGCTCAAAATGGAAAATGGAATAGTCTATACTTAAAAAAGTCAGAAATGCACTTGAATTGACTAGAAAATTATTCTCCTTAGCTTCCTTAGAAGATGTTGGAGCCTAATCCACTAAGGATTATTTAGGATTTTATGTTTGAATTAATGAAGTCCTAATTATTGTCAAGCTAAGGAGCCTATTTTTTGTAAAATTCTATTAAGAGTCGGAATCCTTGTAAGATTAGGCTTTGCCCTACTTTATCTTATAAATAGGGAGTTCTCCTTACGATTTTTGATCATCCATCAAATAGAGAGATGGAGGTTAAAGAAGATATGCGTGCAATTTCTCTTGCAAACTTTTCTTTTATCACAGTGAATTACTATAGAGGTGGGAGGGGATATAATCTCACAATGAGACGAATCTCTATAAATCTTGCATGCTTTTGATTGTTTATTTTTCTTTTTTTAAATCGATTGTTGTTGGTGGGATAGAATTAGAGTTTATAATTCTCAATGAAATAAAATGTAATGTTTGAAAATGAGATACCAAAAATGGCTTCCATCTCACTTATTGTGATGAAGGGGCTGAAAAAGAATGGGATCCCTTAGATCACACCCAACTTGGCTACAACATCTTAAATCTCAAGAAGTGTTTGAAGATGAGGTTAATTAATATATTCCCTTTTGCGAACATCGTTTAATAGTAAGTTATATAGGCTAAAATTCATTGTAGGTGTACATAAATCCGAATCTACTTTAGATTACCTACATGTAAATAGTACTTCAACACACACAGATTGCTTTTCTAGAAAAGTGTGGATTTCCTTTTAAAAATGAAACATGAAGCTTTAATAACTTTTAAATATTGGAAAACACTGGTAGATAATCAGTTTGGAAGGAAAAGAGTTTGATATCTTTTGTAAATTAAAAATAAATGACCTATTTAGGCATAGGACAATAAAGTATACACCAAAACAGAGTAGAGTGGCTCTTTATGAAACCCAATAGTGTCTGTTCTCTGTTATTCTGAAGGAACTAAGGATTATAGGTTGCGGGCTAACGGAGTAAAAAAGCTATAAAATAATTAAAAGTAAGGATGTCATCTTCAATGACTTGATTGGTTAAATGAAACCTCATATGAGGCAGAGATATTCAGCTGCTCGTCCAGGTTGATAAAGCAGCCTCAAATTGAGGTGGATCATGAACAAGAAAACTGAATTTGAAAATATGCAAGCTGAAGTGATAACCCAAAAATATAACGAAAAAGTTAAGGGCATGTTCTCTTTGCTATTTTCAAGCCGTTTTCTGTTTTCGATTTTCCAAAACAGTGAAAATGCGCTCTCTTTCCTATTTTCGAAAACGTGTTTTTGAAAACGACTTTAAAATTTATAAAGAAAACACAAAACGACAAAAATGTCGTTTTGAGTGTTTTCAGTTATAACTTGGCCAAAATTTCCAAAACGCATTTTCGTTGTTTTCAACCCAACCGCCAACCTTCACCGCCTGCACCAACCATTGCCATCACCGCCATCACCGCCGACCACCTCCAACCACCAAATCTCACCCACAGCCACCACCACCGCCTGCACCAACCACTGCCATCACTGTCGACCCTCTCCAACCACCAGATCTCACCCATAGCCACCACCACCGTCTGCACTAACCACTGCCGCCAACCACCAAATCACAGCTGATCGCACCCACAGCCACCACCGTCGCCAACAACCAAATCGTAGCAAATCGCACCCATAGCCACCACCACATCACAGTTGATCGCACACACAACAACCACCACCACAGCCAAAATCACCACGAAAATCTGCTGCGACCCAAAATCGCGAAAATCTACTGCTTAGCTGGGTTGAAATCGCGACCCAAAATCATCACAAAAATCACGACCGAAAAACAAAAGAAGAAGGACAACAGTGTCGCTACCGGCTAAGAGATCACTGCCACAGCCACCGTCACCGTCGACCACCGAATCGCAGCAAGTCACACCCACAGCCATCGCCATCATCAATGAAATTGCGACCCAAAATCTCCACCAAAAAAGGAAGAAGAAGGACAGCAGCATCGTACCCCCACTCCTTCTGGCCGGCGAAATGGAGCCCAGCGGTGGAAGAGATAGGAGAGAAAGAGGGGAGGGGAGAGAGAGAGAGATGGGATGGGAGAACGTGTTTTGGTGTTTTTAATTTTGGAAAACAATTTTTCAAAATGACAAAAAGAACGCATTTTCAACAATCTCAAAATGGACACTCAAAACACAAAATTCAAAATGAATTCAAAACACAAAACAGAAAACAAAAACACGAAGAGAACACCACCTAAATTACTTCTTAGAGACCTTCAAGTAGATTTGGATTCAGCTGCCTATTCTAAGAACAGAACCAGAGATGTTACATATTGAAAGTGGTAGTATAAGATCAAATAAACTGGACTTGGAGTATTCAAAGAGTGACAAGGATTAATCAAGGTCGGCATGCATATTGCGAACTGCAGGTGGAGGTGACATCTGATAGAATATAGAAGACAAAGAGGAGGGAAAGTATTCAATCACATTCACAAAATATGGTGGAACTCGGCTGATTCAAATAGCCATACATTTGGTACAATTCAAAATGATTTCCAACAACTATTCTACCTAACTCCACTCTTCCATACTTGACTCAACATTTGGACAGCTTGTAGCACCACTTGCATGAATTATAAAACATAACTTAAACTATCATTAGTTACAAAAATATATGTCAAGCTAAAGACAACAAAAACAAATGGTTTGACAACAAAAGTGTCACATGTGACACGGTTCATCAAGTTTTGATTCTATGGCTTTTATTATAATAATGGTTTCTCATTTAATTCACTGGGAACTATTAATTTTTTTAGAAACAGATGTGGGTTTGAAACGTTTTAATTCTAGGATATTAAGCCCCTGTTTGACATTCATTTTGGAGAAAAAATAAATTCTAGAATAGTGATTGATGGAATAATGTATGGTTGAAAAGTAATAAGAATTTTTGGATTTTAGTGTCACATGTGACACGGTTCATCAAGTTTTGATTCTATGGCTTTTATTATAATAATGGTTTCTCATTTAATTCACTGGGAACTATTAATTTTTTTAGAAACAGATGTGGGTTTGAAACGTTTTAATTCTAGGATATTAAAACAGACAAGGTTTCACATTTTATTCACTGGGAATATCATGACCAACTTTATTGCATCAATTTAACATCCTAGAATAGTCAAGTTCCTAATCATGTTTGAAATATTCAGCGCATGTTTGATTGAGCTGAAACTCGATTTTAGAAAAAGTTGATAAATTCGATTTCAAAATTACAATTAAATAATTTTGAAGACTGGCCCACCATTTATTCAACTATTTTTCGTCAATACTTCAAAATTATTCTCTTCATTGTGGATTCCCATTTCGCCCTTCATGTTGCACAAGTTCACCAATTTAGACTTGGCTTTGGGGACTACATGAAGGCACCAAAAAATCTATGTTAGCGATTTTACGCATGCAGAAGAATGAGATGATACAAATGCATCAACAAATTGATTTGTTCATGCAGCAGATCACAACTTTACGAGGTGGGCAACACGCACAGATAGAGTGTTAGGAACATCCCCTATGGCAGCCAATAGTTGTGATTGATCACTGATAGTGATAGTAAGGACAGTAGGTCTACATCGATTATGTGGCCGACACTTAGACAAATGATGGGTTGGAGAATTTGAATACGAGTCGACAGTTTAGATTCGAGAGGGATTATCATATGAATTAGAAATCTGGATTTCTATGGTGGGAAGAATTTGTTGGTTGGGTTTGCGCATTTGATGGGATTCTTTACTTTTTACGAAGTGCCGGCTAAATAAACGGCTTTCATTGAGACCGAATTGGTTAGATTTAGTAATGCAAGATTGAATCTAACCTCTGCAATTATTTGAGGATGCTATTACGGAATTATTAACAGAACCGAAGGACCAGTTGATTGACGTATGCTTGGGTTTTTTGTTACCAATTTAAACATGAATAATTGCAGGGACTAATGATGTTGGTGGCAGTTATTAGTTTCCGACCATGGGGAGGCAGCCACAGTAGATTGCTACAACCAGATGCTGCTACGACTGCTGTGAAAAATACTTGCTGCAGTGACAGCACGTCATTGTGGCTTGATTATTCTTTCTGCAGCTACGACTGCTATGAAAAAAACTGCAACGGATGATATTTTTTCGACTTTTAAGTATTGGAGTTTTCAAGAAAATAGACGCTCACAATTTGAGTAATGATGGAAGGTTATGATAGCAACATGATATTCAACATGGGGCTCTGCTGGACGAAGAGGTAGTTAGAGGGACAATCATGCTTGGCTGCTCGAATTTTATGACATCTTGGATGACAGTATGCCACATGCATTCTTCTATCATTGAACTGTTTCACCGCCATCCAATCATTTTTTTAGCACAACTTAATCTCATCTAAGATGTTAAAAACAGACTGTCAATTTTTGGGCAGCATTGCTAAATGATGACAGTTAAAATAGAGCACCCATTTTTTAAGAGCACCAAGATTAAAATAAGATGGAAGACAATGAAGTAACTATCAATGAAGTTAA